AAAAAAAAAGGAACCAAGACTCCATCTTTTGCTAGCAGCAATAGGTCCTCGAAGGCTCGAATGGCCCCAAAAATCGCGACTTTTTTCACTCTTCAACCTCCTCCTCGGCAACAGGCGTAAGCCCACCACCACCACGCTCTTTCACAAAAGTCGGGTCGAGAAACTTAGCCACGAAAGCCCAAAGCTTGTAAACATCATCGAAATTCGTCAAGAAGCTAAGCGAGGCCGTGACAACCTCTACCCTCACAAACCCCCCGCCGCTCTTACCACCATCATTCCTCCCGTTTTCCATCGGCTTGCAAAGTGTAGTATCGTCAATGCCTCGATAATGATGATGCTTAGAGCTATCCAAAATCCGAATGTGGCTCAAAATCCCAACCCCAAGAGATATACCGTTCGACTCGGCCACCTTCTGCACAATCTCCGGGCTAATCAACCCCCGATTATTCCTATCCCTCACGTTGAAAGCCACTGCTGCCCCTCGCTCGTACTTTATTTTCGGGCCGTAGATATGGACAAGTGGGGCCTGCTCCTTACCATTTGAGCTCGGAAGTCTCAACTGAAGCAAAGAGGTGACGAGCCAGTTGATCAAGAATCGAAGTCGAGAAGTTGTCTTGTTGAGGCCCAGCATGTTTATGTGGTCCAGGTGGCGGCAGATAATCTCCGGCTCACCTCTATCCGAATCTTGACCGTCCACATCATCATATTCACCGTTGCTTACATAATCCTCGTCATCACCGGATAATAATTCGCCACCAGGCTCGAGAGATGGAGTGAGATAATTATTAATATGGCCTTTACGGTGGGGGTTATAATCCTCCGTGCTGAATGACACCCTTCGCCCTTTGCTCCCGTGATTTTCATTTTCGTCTATTCCGAAAAATCTCCCGCCGCCGGCAATTCGACTTCTTTCCCGCCTCTCGAGTAGCCTAAACTCACCCTCCGTCTCTCGTCTGATCGCACTTTCTTTCTCGAGGCTAACCAACTTGCCGCCTGTTTCGGGCTCTTCTTCGATTTCGTGAAAATACCGATTATCCTCCTCCGGTGTCCCACTCGGCCCGGGAATCTCATCATCAAACTGTTCTTCCTCGGGGATTTCCTTGAAATGGTCCGATTCATGAGACACTGACCGGACAGCAGCATCGAATGACAATACGTTAGGCTCATCATCACAAGGGCTGCTCGATGATAACTTCCCAGCTTTCGGAGAGTTTAGCTTATTATTATTATTATTCTTGCGGCTCGTGAACCAAGCGGGCGGCAATGGAGAGGAGAGGAAGCCGCCCTTGTGTTTATTCGAATGGCCCGCATCATCAGAGCCCAACGGGCTCTGGCCCAAATCTATCCACAGCGAGTTATCCGATGATTCGTCCTCGCTGAAAACCGGGCTTTTGATAAGCTCACCCACGGATATACTCTCGGTTTCTTCAAATACAGTGCTCGCCCCATCCCTATCCGAACAGTTATCGTGCTCCATCTCGGTTTCGAACACATCCATCACTTGAGCAGAAGTAAACACGCCGGAAAAGGCGGGCAATTGCGAAACGGGCCGGACTTTTTCCGAATTAATGTCGCTATTTCGACTCGCTTCTTTTTCTGTTTCGCCAAACCCAGGGAAATTATCCATCGAATCACTCAAATACATTGGGAAAACCGGCGTGATTTTGACTATACCCGAGCCCGCATGGCCCGAACGATTCTGCAGGCTCGCCATAACAGATTTCTTGATCAGAAGGCACCCAAATCCAGTCGGGTCGTACCCAAACACCCTATAGAAAGAGGTGATGATGAAATCGGGCCGGAATAAAGACAGCCCGAGAGAGTCCATATCCTTAGGGCCCAATGCTCCAGCATCAAGCAACACGTGCCAATTGTTTTGTTGGGCCAAAGCCATCCACTGGTACGAGTATTTCGCACCGCTAACCCTCGACTGAACGGGAAAAACGAAAAGGCCCGTGGCGTGGTCTTTCTTTCTTCTCTTCTTGTTCGAAATCTGCTTCCTCAGATCAGTCGAGCAGAGTTTTAAAGTCGGCCATTTAAACCACGCACTTTGAACTTTCGCCCCTTTCTCCCGAGCATTCTGAGCCATCCAGTTAACCGACTGGCTATCGTGATCGAACATTGTCAACAGTCTCTTGTTCGTGTGAAAAGGGTACGACTCGGCCAGAAGCTTAAAAGCCGAGCCACGGCTAACTGTGAAAACAAGCCCGTATTCATTTTCAGGGATGTTTAAATAATCCATTATCCGAGCCTTTATATCGTGCTCAACCGTTCCTTTCTCGGCTCCTCCGTACAAAGCGTGATTACTCAAATTGGCAGTTATCTCAGATAAACTAAATGTGGATGACTCCCAATAATGCATAGTTTGAAGCAAAGAAAACAGCCCGAACCCACAGTAATCGAGGCATACCTTCGAATCGGAGGCTAATAAGTGCGAGTACTCGTCTGATCTCAAATGATCGATTTTCTCAGACGACTGGTATTTCGGGTACATAGTGAGAAACTTTGAAAAGGCCTCATTAAGAACCGGGATCGAGTCATGGGACTCGAATATTCTTTCGGCAGCTAAAGCAGTGGCCTTTAGGAATTCCTTCTGAGCATTGAGCCGAGCCAGTGAACGGGATCGGCCCAAGCCATCTTCTTGATTTGTTAACAAATCCGAATCGACATCTTGGGATTTAAAGAGGGACCCATCTTCAGAAGCTTCCTCAAGAGCCTCTCTTAGCTTGTGTTCTTGCAATTTTCGGAGAATCGAGGGGTTTGCCTTGATTTCGTCAGACGAGTGTTCTGAACCGTATTTTCGCCGGCTCTTCTTGTCGAGGAGTAGAGCAGCACAGTGAGACAGTGGTTTCCATAGAGAGAGATGCATTAAAGCTTCCTTTTTCTCTTCTTCCTTTATTCTTCTCCCGTTTTCACTCGCAGGTGGTCGGAAAACACAATTGATCTGAGAAAGAGAAAATGGCTATAGTCAAGAAGATGAAGAGAAATAAAAATTAAAGGGAGGAGCTTTGTTTTTCTTTTTTTTTTTTTTGTTTGTTTGTTCTTTTTCTTCTGTTTCTTTTTCAGGGTTTAGGCTATCCCGTTATCAATTCAAACCCTAAAGACCGGTAAAGCGAAAAGAAAAAACTAAAGGCGAGAAAAAAAAGCTCCTTCAAGAATAAAACTTTGTTTTGAAAAATCAAAGAACGCGATTCCGGTGGAAATTGCTCCGGACCTGATAAACCCAGGTTCCGGTGAAGATTCCGGTGAAAATTCCAGAAAATGGGGAGAACAAACACAGAAAAAAATCAAGGCCCAAGTATGATTAGAGCTTTTTGAAGTCGTTTTTGTTACTGCCCCATTACAAAGAGAGAGAGAGAGATAGAAAAGAACACCCCAAAACTCAGATCCCAATAGCAGCAAGTTTTGCCAAGAAAATCAAGAACTTCTCTCTAACAATTAAACAATA